TGTTCTCACAGCCTGATGGATAATATTTAAACTAACTGGCTTTATAATTGTTTATTTTAAATTGTCTCCCATAAATTGTATGCAATATTCACCGAACTTGGAACTGGATGGAACACTGTCTACACCCTTAACATAAATAAGCAAAGCAGGACGTGTGAAAGAGGAAGGAACCCATTTATTAGATGTACTCTCTTAGTTTTTCACCTTCCCGGCCAAGTACCAACAAAAGTTTGGGTGCGGCTTCACATGTGAGTGCTTTGGCTCACAGCCCATCTCTTTGGACAAGCCAGCAAATGACTTCAGGACAGGGTCAAGGTATAGTTTGTTGTTCATTGTTTTATATGGAGACTGTTTTTTACCTGTTGTAAGCCTCTTTATGTCACTTTAGGGAGCAGAGCAAAATATTTAAAAGAAATAATTTTGCACACTGAGCAACTGCTCAGACCAGAACAGGCCAGGCTAGGTTTTTCTTCCCATCAACTCCAGGCTGGGAAATTCCTTGAATCTACCCAATCCAAAGCAGCCATTTTCTCCAGGGGAGCTGATCTCTGTAGTATGGAGATCAGTTGTAATTCTGGGATATCTCCAGAGCTCACCTGGATATTGGCAACCGTAGACTTAAGCTTTTCTAGCATTTACGTCTCACATTCTCCTGGAAGCCCTTAAGTTTAATTCCAGATGGGCAGACAGCGGCTATGGTTGCTTAGTAGATATAAAATGCACTTGACTACACTAAACCCCATTAACCACCTCCCTGAGAATATGCCTGCAGTTCAAATCCTGTTAAACACCCTTAGAAATAAAATGGCTGACAATACCTTCTCAAAACCTCCAAAGATAGTGTCCCGGTCACCTCCTCAGAGAATCCATTCCACAACAACTAGTATTTATATTTGTTATTAGTTCCTCTGGCTGATAAATGAAGTATTCGTTCTTTGTCAGGTTGGTGATCACAGTACCATATGAGAAGAGATATAAATTAAGATGTTTTGCTTTGGTTATTATTTGATCTTTATTTGATCTACAGAGCAAATCAGATGAATTCACACCTTGATATATTTTTTTAACTTGAATGATTATATATTCAACTCTCCAATTTATAAACCCTCCAATTCATAAACTAATGTTACTTTCTTGATGCCTAGTGATTGTCAACTGAAAAACATTAACACTTCGAAACTATCAAGCCTGCTGATATAGTATTGACTAGCATTCACTACTCTTTGTTAATAATTTGATGGAACAATAAATGAAAATTCTTTTAGGGAAGGAAAAACACTTTTTAAAAAGGCACTTGTCTCTTCATCAGAGGCCCTCACGTATGAAACAGTCCTTACAGTGAAAATCTATTTCAGGCCTAAACTTTAACGTCAAAGGATGTCTCTGCAGGGTAAAACTGAGGCAGCTCTTTACCATATGTTGGGGGGAAGACACCACCTAAATTCATAGCCGTGCCATTCTAGTGTTGCTTTATTCCCCTTCCCTCTTGGCAGCTTTCATGTCTATAGCTGGAGAGATCTCCAAGAGGAAACTGCTCACCTCCATTCCAGCTCCTAGAAGAATGTCAACGCCTTCTCTTCTCTTGTGTGGTTCATCTTATTTCTTCCGCCATGCAGTCCTTAAATCTCTCCCTCACACCACTCAGTCTTTGGTTCTCTCAGGAACATCTCTACGGCTGTGAAATTAAGTACAGAGAAACCCGGGGAAGATAAGGCCCAGAAGCTACATCACCCTCTATCCTATGTAGTCCTACACTACAGCTATAATGAAGTCTGCACACGTAGATGAATAAAATAGATTCTGGTCCTGGTCACACAGATTTGCTCCGCGAAAGGGATGGATTGAGGGCACATCAAACGGGCACGATCATACCACAACATCTGGGAAGCGTAGCGCATCCGTCTCCAACCCGTACCGTCGGCCCGAAGAAGCGGATTTAAAAGGCACTGGGGAAAAGGTAGTAGCTTCCGGTAAATGCGCGGCACGGGCGGGCGTCTGATCGGAGACGCGCCGGTAGCCCGTGGCATCCGTCCGCGACCTGCGCATGCACAGTAACGCAGTACTGCCGTGTTGCCTCGCTGGGACTACGCTATTGCCTCCCTGGTGTGATCGGCTGCTGACGGCCTGAAGACAGAGCCGTGGGGGACCGTAAGATCGCGCTCCCGCGCTTTTAGCTCCACCTCTAAAATGCCTCCCTTCCAGTGCAGATTTTCCCACTCCTGTGACGGGGGGCCCCTGTTGACTTTTTGTTTTGCAGTTTGGCCTTGACATCAGCACTGACCTCACAATGCTGCTCTTTGAGAAGACAGTGGTCACTTAGGTGAGGAAACTGCTATTAAGGACTAGCAGGGTAACTTGAAGAACTGAAAAATCCTTTAAACCAGATGAATTTCAACAGTTACTGGAGTGGACACTTTTAGAGGGAGGAAGGCAGGCCATCCTCTCCCTCCCTTGTGCTTTAGACTACACATCCTCAGAGATATTCCTCTGCTTGTGGTATACAATTAAGTAGGCCGAAGCTGGACTAGGAGTCTTCAACATGGCACCCAATTAAGTAGCCAGGGGTTAAGAGCACGGACTCTAATCTGGGAGAACTAGGTTTGATTCCCCACTCCTCTATATGCAGCTGCTGGTGTGACCTTGGGTCAGTCATAACTTCTTTCAGAGCTGTTAGAGCTCTCCCAGCCCCACCTCCCTCACAGGGCGTCTGTTGAGGGGAGGGGATGGGATTGTAAGCTGCTCTGAGACTCCTTTAGGTTGTGATAGTGAAGGGTGGGGTATAAATCCAATCTCCTCTTCTTGGTCGAGTTCCCAACATGGCACACACTTGCTTCCTTCTTAAAGCCAGTTTTCTTCCACTTTACCGGAGCAGGAGGTGCTTTGGAGAAGCCTAAAGAGCATCCATTCAGAAACAGCCATCTTCATAAGAGACTTGGCACCTCTGAACACTTTCTACCACTATTTCATAACTGGGCCCAGCCCCACCCCTATGGCAGTGATTCTGCTCCAGCACCCACCACATGCTCTGAGAACTGCCAAGGTAGCTATGGGTTCCACAAGGTTGGAGATGCACCTCGCACTAGTTGCACACACTAATGGCACCATTTCTTTTGGCTCCCCTTTATCTTGTGCTGCACTCTACTACTGCAAGCGATGCATTGTGCATGTATATGAATAAAGTAACAAATGCAGTTGGAAGATGTTTGGCAATTTTAGCTTGCTTGTATCTAAGACCATGCCAGTAGATTTTGGTCAATACTGCCCATTTCCCTTAAAATCCCCACCCGCCCGACAGAAATTCTAAGATGGTGCTCAGATTAGGGAAAACAGGACATCTCCCTAATGCCAAGTACTCTGAATTACTGGACAGGTGGCAAGCATTCCCAGTGGCCTCTGCTCCTGTCATTTTATTTACATCATTTATACCCTCTGCCTTTCTCCCCAACGAGAACCCAAAGTGACTGACATCATTTTTCTCTTCTCTATCCTCACAACAACCTTGTGAGGTAGGTTAGGCCGAGTGTCTGCGACTGGCCCAAGTCACCCAGCAAGCTTCCAGGCATTAGAAGCAGGTGTTCCTAAGTGTCTGCGACTGGCCCAAGTCACCCAGCAGGTGTTCTTAGGCTGACTCTAACCATTACACTGCACTGCTCCCATTCCTTTAACAGCAACTTGCTCTGCAGTGAAAATGTTCACACACTGATTTCTGATAAAGGCTAAAGATACACCAGATTTTTCCTATAAAGTTGCTAACCCTAAACATTTAAGAGAATGTAACATTTTCTGAAGAGGGAAGGCTGATTTCTGCTGACACTCCCCAATGCCCACACGCTGCTGCCCACTGAAACCCCTAAAACTGTGTTACTGTCAACAGCATGGGGGGCAAACTGGAGGGTTAGCTGCAGTGGGAAGGGGGAATCAGCCAAAGCATTTCCTCCTGTGGAAACTCCAGCACTTAAGTCTTTGGCTAGATGCAGGTCAGCATCTCTGACGCAGTTATAGATTCTGTTCTTTAATGTTTCATCCTGATGTCATAACAAGTTTCTGTATGTCCCCATTTACATCTCATGTCAACTTCTTGGAAAGGCACCACTGAGGCTTATCAAGAAGCTAGATGGATGTTTTAAAACGGTCCTTCTGAAGGTACCTGTCTCACAACCAGGGGGATGGGAGTCCCACCAATTAGGGACTTGAGGCTTCACCTGCTGCTATCAGCTAATAATGGAGGTTCCAACTGATTTATTTAGAAATACATCCAAGTTGTACACCTGTTAGGTCAGCACTTGAATCATGGCTGGCTTAAAAGAACTGTACGCAGCACTTGAATCATGGCTGGCTTAAAAGGACTGTATGAGGGTAAACTAATTTTAAATTCGCCACCTCCAAACTCTGATTTAATATTTCTTCCAAATTAACTGTATTTGAACACACAGCGACACATGACTTGCCTTACACCAAATCAGGCTCTAGGATCCATCAAGGTTGATATTGCCTACTCTGGCAGGCAGCTGCTGTCCAGGGTTTTCAAGCAAATGTCTTTCACATCACCTGTTGCCCGGAGATGCTGGGGTTGAACCTGCAACCTTCTGTGCCTCAGCTAGATACCCTCACACACCGAGTCATGTTCCCCTGCCCACACCGGATGGAACCAAATGACATCAGCCCTTAGTGTGGCAGACACTGTGCTCCAGATCTCCAACTGAGTTCTCCCAGAACTTTCATGTAGATATTAGACAGCAAGGTAGGCGATGTAGTGTTCTGAATGACCCCATAAACTAATGGGCATAAGGCAGGAAGGAGCGGAGCCATCTAGAAACTGGACCTCTCAGGACCATCCCACCAAGATAAAATAAGTGACTCAACTGAAAAGGTCCAGGAGAACCAACAAGGACACATTGGAGCAGGCAGGAAACCGGCATAAACAGTTATCAGTGCTCAAGGTGGTTTCTGTTCAAGGGTCATGCCAGAAGTCAGATTGAAGAGCTTCCCAGGTGGTCTTTAACGGCATAATTTTATTTATTCTGAAAACGAGTCACAGGTTTTTCCTCTCTTGTTTCTCCACATTTCTAGCTTTTCCAGTTTTCCTTAGAGAAAATAATATTGTTCCATCCAACTACCCCCTCACTCCCAAGAAGTATTTTTCCTTTCGTGGTCTTTCCCATCTAATGCTCCTCTATCCATTCCCTGATACAATTTTTAAACTGGGGACATCTGGCACTTCATTTGGACTTATACAGGAAATGAGTCAACCCCCCCCCCCATCAAGGTCCTACAATAGGGCACCTTCACAGAAGTTCTGCAAGGTATAACATTTTATTTAACCAATGAATTAAACCTGTTCATAAACCAGACAGCTAGTGGAATCTTCAAGTGACTGCCCAGCCCGATGGCATACTTGTACATGGAGACATACTGGTTTATTAAAGAAAAGAGGTACCACACTACCTATTCCAGTGCTGGGAATACTCCTAGGTCACACGTAACACCCAACAAACAGCAGACTCAGAAATCCAGACTGGGTTGAGCTGGATTTATTGACAGGGGAAAAAAAAAAAGAATGAACACCGAATCATCCCATGTATGTCAAGGAGGTGGGAGGGCCGCATCGTTCCTGCCCCACCTCTTCTCTGGGCAGAATTCTCCACCTCCAGTCACCCGTTAAGTAGCCCTGATTATTCAGCATTTGAAGTAGATTGTCATAATCGTTGTCTCTCTGCAAGAGACCTCAGCCCCGCTTGCAGTTCTGAGACTTCACAGAAGTAAAAAAAACAGCTAGCTTTCTACATGTGGCTTTGCCACGCGATCTACAGGCAAAGTTGCATTTTTTTCGTTTTAACGCAGTCCATACGCTCCTATGTCTAGGGCCCAAGTATGACTGGAAAAACAGCTGGAGGACACCGCCCTCAAGAGGCGTCAATCACCTTCCCTCTGCCCCTGTCCCCTTTGAACTGTATTTTTTTTCTGCCGGGCTCATTTAAGTCCAAAGTTGCACCATGGTGCAAAGGCAGCCTAGAAGTAAACTATGGGCAGGAGCAGAATTATGCTTTGTTCAAAAGAGGAGGAGATGCCAGAAAAGCACAGAGGAAGGGAGGGAGGGGAAGTACCGGCTCCTTCCCCCCATTCCTCACCACTGCCTGCAGCTGTGACAATTCAAGGCACGCAAGTGACATTGTCGTCACACAAGCCTGGCAGGTGAAGTTTCCTCCAAGCACATGAGAGATTTGGGGGAAAGGGTGGGATACCAGTGCCAGCTTTTCCCCTGGACTTGAGGTTCACCTGCAGGGCCTTTCCACAGCATGCTCCTTTTGTGTGGTATGGCCAAGATGCTTTTCTGGAAAGGGGGGAGGGGAGCGCCACTCAAAATGCCCCGTCAGGTGGCCAGCCTGGTTTGTGCATTCCTGACGTCAAGCAGAGTCAGCCTTCAGGAGGCCGGGGCTTTGCTTGGCAGGGGAAGGGACTCAAACAGTTTCTGTCCAGAGGGAAAGGCTGCCGTTATGAGCCGACGGAAAGCCATTAGGACGAGACAGGAAGAGCAGCTGAGAGTGACAAGAGCCCGTCCAGGAAGATGGCCCACTCCCTCACCCCTTCCCCCCCCCTAGTTGTATGGATTCAGGTGAGACTCTGCCTCCGCACGGGCACACCAGTCCTCCGAGGAAAGGAAAGGCGCCAGCCATATCCTGCAACAGGGTAGCCACGGTTGCCCCAGTTCTGAAGGTCAAGGTCTTTCAGAAGTCCACATCGTCTGAATCGGCACCACCGGTCGCCTGCAGCTCTTCCTGGCTGTTCCCCCAGACGAAACGGTAGTTGTCTTCCAGCTGGCGCTGGCGCTGCTGCTCTCTGTGCGCCTCCCTTTGCGTGCCCTGGATCTGAGGGGAGGGAGAGAAAGGAAGGCCCCGTTAGCTCTGGAGAGCGGCAAACTAGCATCGAGACGTTTTAAGGAGCTTGGGGTGAAAGTGCCCATCTTCTGACTCGGCCAAGGGTTTAAAACTTAAACCAAAAACTCTCAAACCTCTTTGGGGTCTCAGAGAACAGCCAGCCCCTGGGGAGCACCACAATCAAGCAGGATGCACATTGGCAGGCTGTTCTGAAAGTTATGCCAGCACAATATGCAAACTGGAACTATTCAAGAGGGCTTTTCTACTCAGGTAACAGGGCCACACTGCACAAAAAGGGTTTTACAAACTTGCTCGGACAGATGAATGGGGTCTGTGATCTATACGGCCATGTATGGCACATTGTAAGTAAGGTCCTGTTTATGTAATTACTGTACTGCTTAAGGTGTCATTGTGAATACTTCTGCTCTGCTCCTGTTCTTTCTGGTGGTCCCAGCCTTGTAAAATCCTAACACATTGGCCACTGAATGTCCCATTTTTGGTGATTGTACTGACCCACTAGGTGTAATCTGTCTTGAGTCCCTGTGGGAAAGGTGGCATATAAACAAAGTAAGTCAAGAAATAAATAATAAAATGGTCCTTAAAAATGATTGCAAAAGCAGTCAAGTTTACATGGCACTCAAAAGATGATGAGCGGAGAATTCATTAAAAAAATAGCAAAAAGCTATAAAACACAGGGTTGGATCCAGACTAAGTTATCCATTAATGTCCCCTCGCTGCTGCAGACCTCCCCCTACCCCTGACTTGCCTCTCATGCTGTTCCTGAGGGTCCCCACAGAAGCAGCATTTGGGGGAGATTTGTACGCTGTAGAGGGAGCGTTCCAACAGGAGTGCCTTGTGTGGGCAGAAAAGTCAGGTTAGATCCATCTCATGGAATACACCTTATGTTGCCTGATACTGGATTCCAGAAACCACCACCAGGCACCTGAGTTACCAAAATTCCTTTTGTTCGAACTGTTAAAAAAACAAACAAACCCAAACAAGACCCTGGATGTCAAGCCACGTTTACCTTGCCTGAGCTCAAGCACACAACGTCTAGTTCTAAACTTAACAGTTCTTTACAAACCAGAGACGCGGCTTTTATTTCAATTCTTCCTTTTGAGGGAAACAAAAAAATTAAAAGGGGCCAGTTCGGACTGGCTGAGAATCTTGTCCTTCAGCCAAGGAAAGAAAGGGCTGGCCCTCCAGTCAGAGCAGAAGAAGAGTTTAATACGAACAGAGACCAATCAAATAACATACACAATGTGAGTAAAATATACATTCAGATTGCGACATATAAAATAAAAATCAGGACTGAGTTCTAGCGATAAGCCAATTAGATGCTTCCCTCTACAAATTAGGAGCTGCGGTGGCTCAAGTGGTTAAGACGTTGTACTGCAGGCCGTGGAAGGTCGGTAGTTCAGCAGTTCGAGACCCAAGTGTGCCGCATGACGGAGTGAGCTCCCGTCTCTAGTTCCAGCTCCTGCCAACCTAGCAGTTCGAAAGCAAGAAACTGCAAGTAGATAAATAGGTACCACTTCAGTGGGAAGGTAACAGCGTTCTGTGCGCCTTGGTGTTTAGTCATGCCAGCCACATGACCACGGAAATGTCTTCAGACAGCGCTGGCTCTTCGGCTTTGAAACGGAGATGAGCACCGCAACCCTAGAGTCAGATTCGACTGGCTTTCGAGCAAGGGAACCTTTACCTTTAACTCTACAAATTGCTTCTGGAGTCTTATAGCTTGTCTAGCAAATTTTGCCACATTTAGGGTAATCTTTTGGTCTTTAGCCTGCCAGTCACAAGGTGTATTTAAAGCTGGCTTTATTACCTGAGCCAGATATAAGGCAAGAGATTACTTCACTCATGAGGTAATTACCATACTTTTATGAGGCATTTCAGCAGGTAGAGAGTGGGAGCTTCAGTGCCCAATTAAACTTCATAGTCATGGTGGGGGGGGAGAGAAAGAGGACTTTGGATCTGTAAATAAAAGATGGAGCTGGTCTGCTTTGGCTGACCGTGTTTCAAAGTTTAGTCGACAAAGGTTGGGACTTGGCCACAGGAGAATGGTCACTGGGGGTTGGATCCACAGTGAAAGGAACAAAAAATCTACCTGAGGCAGACACCTAATCCTACCTCATGACAAGGCCACCACCTTTAAGATAAAAAATACAGAAATAAAGAACAACATGCTGAAGAGTGCTACCTTCACCGCCAACCATAATGACTAGGGGTGTGCAAAAAATAAAATAAAAATCAGGGTTTTTCCAATTCGGGTCCATTATTTATTCGGCTCGGTATATACAGAGCGGTATTTATTTGGCTCGATATATACTGAGTGCACACCCCTAATAACGACAGCCAATTCTTGGACTGGAGGAGGAACTTCCAGGCCAGAGGGCAGTCATAAAAGCCTAGTGACTCATTTTAGAAACCTGCCCTGGGAAGGGTACGAGGACTACCTCTTACACCATTGCTACGTCTGAAAGTTCTCACCAAAATGTTGAGGAAAATGTCCTTGAGGTTCTTTGTGTCCTCTTCTGACAGCCAGTGGGTGTCGTCATCGTCACCAAGGCCACCAGTCGTCACTATCTTGATTTCAATTTTACCTGCCCGGGGAACAAAGGCAGCCAGTTGTTAGTTGCTCCCTGAACAGTACAGGATTCGCTTTTCAGAGAAACGACAAGTGGGAACACTTGGTGAGGGAGGCTCTTCTGGCTTATAGACAGCCTCCCCCACCCAGCTCTGGAAATAGTGTCAAGAGACACAGAATCAGGACAATAAGAGGTGGAGCAGCATGAGAATTTGCAGGAATAATCCACCTAGGCCCAAACTTCATGGCATGTGCAGTATCCACCCACCCATGTCTCTGACCTGCATCGTCCTTAACCAAAAAAAGCCTGTTTAACACCACTTCCCATCCATCATCTTAAGGACTAATGTTAACTGCAGACTGGGGCATTCTCCCCTTTGCCACCCCACTATCCTGAGGTGCATCTCAGCTCTCTCCTTGCATTTAGTTTTGTCTGACGTACAGACTAAGGAAGTGCTCTGCCGATACAGTTTTTTGTTACGTCTTTATCAAGTCTTAGTTGGCCCTAACCAAAGGCATGACTCTACTCTTCCTTAAGGAAAGGAACCACCACTAGATTTGAAGATTGTGGTACCTCACCTCTTCAAAAACAAACCAAGTCACTTTTGTTCATAATCCACTGGGAGCATCAAAATGAATGGGCGCCAGGCCTTGCCCAGAAACACCTACACAGTCTGGGAACTCTTGGCAATGCCTCTTCAGGACTGTTTGCTTTGGGGAAGCAAGTGGGCACTGAGAAAGACATCAGCAGGCACCACAGGGGCATCACAGGGGAGGAGCTCAGTTGGTAGAGCCTCTGTTTGGCAGGTGTAAGGCCCCAGGTTCAGTCCTGGCATCTCCAACCAAAAGGACCTGGTCATAGGTGATATGAAAGACCTCGGCCTGAGACCTTGGAGAGTCTCTGCCAGTCTGAGTAGACAATGCTGACTTTGATGGACCATATAAGGCAGCTTCATAGGTTCACAGCACTGATGTTTCACTCCTGCGTGGCTTGGCTTTCAGTAGAGCCCTCGGAGATCACATGCCTTGAATCCCCCCCCCACCCCCACCCCATTTTCCTTTACCTATTATGTTTCAAGAAATACTAGCTACAATGCAAAGACTTTAGATGTGCTTTTGATTGTACTATAATCTTTTTGTGTGTGTGCGTGTCAGTGAGTGTGCACCTGGAAGTCACGGCGACCTCTGGTGCCTGACTCCTACTGGGGGCCTGGAGGATATTCAGAGAGATGGCTGAATGAAGCCTGCCCCTGCCTGCCAACTGCTGGTACTCCAAGGAGGTCTCCCATCCAAATACTTGCCAGAGTCGACCCTGCTTAGCTTCTGAAGTCTGATGAGATTGGGCTTGCCCGGGCTACCCTGTTCAGGGCACTATAATACCTTTCCACTGTCAGATTTGTTTGCTATTTCAACAAGCAAGATTCCCATGGTTCCAATTCATTTTAATGTCAATAAGTGTCTTAATTGCCATTTCACTATTAACCCCCTGATGAGCAGCACTATTCGAAGCAGGGAATAAGAAGCAGCTCAAAAGTCCATGGGAAAAAAACACTATTATTTTCTGTAGATTGGTGCTGGCAGATACTGACATTGAAGAATTGCTTGTTGCACCCCTTAAAATGAGCACAGTTTGCCCCCAATCCTTCCCCCTGAACAAGTTCTGCAAGGACTCTGGAAGTCAGAAGGGACCCTGAAACTGCATATGAGAAACGGCCTTTCACAGGGTCAGGAGAGATCACCTCCCAAATTTACAATCCAAGATTCACATCACATGAATCTGCCTTATACTGAATCAGACCTCCGGTCCGTCAAGGTCAGTCCTGTCCACTCAGACTAGCAGCAGCTCTCTGTGGTCTCAGGTAGAGGTTTTCCACATGACCTACTGACTGGTCCTTTTATAACTGGAGGCATTGGGGATTGAACCTGGGACCTTCTGAGTGCAAAGCAGAGGCTCTTCCACTGAGCCACAGACCCTTCCTTTATACACTGAAGGTATCAAGGGTTGAACCTGCTCAGTGCATGTTCTCTGCACAGTTAAGCTGTGGCCCCTGCCAGCCACTTCCTTGAATAGCAAAAGTGGACAACCATGACCTCAAAAAACTTCCTGGGAACAGCTTTAAAAAAATCAGATTAAGTCTTCAGATAACTGGTTTAGGATAACCCTTGACTCCTTGCGGTGTGCGTTTCCAGGCCTGCAGTGACCTCACGCCCTTGCCTATTTCCTCCTAAGAATGCACCTTAACACAAATGACTCCTCCACTCCCCGACAACCAGAAAGGCTTCCCACTACCTGTGGCTGCGTTACCTTCTGCCTTCAGGCCCTCCTTTTCCAACAGGTCCTTAACGACACTCTCTACATGGCGCAGCTGAGGGTTGTCCCTGCTCATCTCTCGAACTCGCAGCTCCTTCTGCTGAGCGCTCCCTGGCCGTACTTTCGTGACCCTGACTTTCACACGCCCGTCTGAGTCATCATCTGAAATAGAGGCATGGGGGAAAGTGTTTAAGAGTGCTAGCAATAGGGGAAAGCATTTTAAGAGTGCTGGTCCAGGATCTGGGAGGACCCAGGTTCGAATCCCCACTCTGCCGTGGAAACTGGCTGGGTGACCTTGGGCAAGTCACTCTCTGTCAGCCTAGCCTACCTCATAGGGTCGAAAGGATTAAAGCATTAAAAACATGGAGGAGGGGAAGACGACAGAATGTTGTTGTAAGGTGCTTTGGAGCTCACTGGGGAAAAAAGCAGGGTATAAGTATCTACAATAAAATAATGTACTATCTGCTCAAAAAAAGGAAATTCTGCACTCAAATTTATGCAAGAGAGTTATTACACTTACCTGGTCGGATTAGCATCAAGGTTTTCAGAGAATTCAGACCTTTTTGCAAAGAAGTATTCCCGGACAGCAAGGGGGAAAAGGTAGCCACCAAAAGAGATGCACCAAAAAAAGCCACAGGGACTCTTCACGTTCTTTCCCCTCCCCCCTGGCTTGGAACCACAAACAAGCAAAAAACACATTGCTGAACAAGTTCACAGTGTAATGAATTAACAATGAAGATACTGCTTTAATTGTTGTTTTGTTTCAACAGCTGAATACATCAAGAGACCGAAGTCTCAGCACAAGCAGGACGAACTTTCCCAGGCTTGACTGTCCGTTTCGACTTTGCGTCTTTATCAAACGTCAGTTTGTAGTTGTTTGTCTTCAGTACAAGGTTTTCAACAGTGTGTGCATAGTTTCAAAGGTGGCTACTTCAAGCTCTCACAATCAACAATTCCCTTCTGGATAATGAAGACAAACAACTACAAACTGACGTTTGATAAAGACGCAAAGTCGAAACGGACAGTCAAGCCTAGGAAAGTTCGTCCTGCTTCTGCTGAGACTTCGGTCTCTTGATGTATTCAGCTGTTGA